AATATTATTATAAATTATTATTATTGAGAGTTTCATTTTAAAAATCAATTTAATGAATTGAATCTGATTTTATTTTTGTTTTATTTCTATTTATGGTTTTAGTTTTGCTCTAAAAACACTGAAACATGTTTGTGATGATGTTAGAAACCTGGAACCTCCTCAAGAACCTCCGTAATCAGGGATTAAGATATGCGTCTTCGAGAGCCTTAATCCTCCTCTGGATCCCCAAGAACCCTCTCAGAACTCCCAACACCTCTTCAGGATCCCCCGGAGCACCTTAAGAATTACCCCAAAACCACTTAAGAACACGGGAACCGTCTGATGTATTCCTGGAATGCCGTTGAAGTCTCTTAAGAACTCCAGGAACTCCATTTAAGCCCCTAGAACCCACTAAAGAACCATTAGGTAAGCCTTGGGGCTCCGTGAACCACTTCTAGATCCCCTAGAGCACCTTAAGAATTACCTGAAACCTCCCACAGAACTCCTGAAACCCCTTAAAAACACCTGGAACCGCCTCAGGTGCCCTAAAAAAGCCTGGAACCTTCACTGGACACCCTGTGGAACACCAGAACCCCTTGGAAATCTTTTAAACGTCTTTTCTTAGAACCTTTTTCAGAACACAGTAACCCTCTCTGGAAATCCAGGAACATCCTCTAATGGCCTCAGCGAGGTTCTTGAACATCTTTTAGATCCTCTTGAATATTAACAGAACCTCCTGTAGAACACCCTAATGCACAAGAACCCACTAAAAACACCTAGAACCTCCTCCAAGAACCGTAGGAACTGCTTTGTTCAGATTCCTTAAAGGCCCAAAAGTCCTGGTTCCGTCTGCAGGCTCCCAGTTTAAGAACCGCTGCCAGCTGGGTCTTTGCAAAACCTTAAAGAACAACACACAAATAAAATATTTCCTCTGAACTTTGTGTTTAAAACGGGTCTACCTAGCAGAACCGTCCAAAGAGTCTCTTTATGTGACGGGCTTGGTGAGAACCCGTAGGAACGTCCTCCAGAGGAACACCTGAAGGAGCTCGCTGCGGGGAACCTGTTCTTTAAATATATTTCCTACTTTCACTTAATGACTTTATTAATTCTGCTGCTCCGGTAATAAACAGGAGAACCCGTCATGTGTGAAACACAGATGGCACTCAGAATAAATCCAGCAGGCAGGTTGAGGAACAGCTGCACAGAGGAGAACCGGGTCTGCAGGCACATGGCGCCACACAGTGGACAGAAGCAGGAACTGCAGACACAGTGTGGACAGATGGAGGAGATTCTCACTGAGCTCTTTAAAGAATAACCACAGAGATACACATTATTATTATAATTATAATAATAATACAAATGTTTTAAAGAATTCTAATGCAACACAGATTAAAACACATCGCTGATTTATGGTTTAAAATATTTGCAACTTCACAACTTTAAAGAGACTTTGTGTCCAAACTGCTTCTTCCTTTTTTCCTCTTTATTTTTAAACTGTTTATTCTGATAGTTCAGTTTCATTAATTACATCAGTTTTTAGGTGGAAAAATCTTTAATGTAATAAATGTAAATATATAAGCAGAAATACAGATTTTATAAAACACTGCTGAGAAAATTGAGAAACGTTTCACAGGAAAACAGTAAAACCTGATTCTGTTATTAAAACAGCATCTTTTGAGAGTTGAACATAAACTGTGAGTTGGATCGTGTCCTGAGGCTGTCGGTCCGTCTGTATGGATTATATAAATACTGCATATGAGGACGACAACATCATTATTATTATACTGGAATATTATGATCTGTTTCAATAGTTGTCATTATTATTAGTGTATACGTCTATCTTCTTACACCCAGAACTACTTTTATATTTCATGTATTTGTTCTTCTTTCATCTTGTTGATGTTCTAATGTTCTGTGTGATGATTATGATCTGAGCTCCAATGCTGCTGCAATAATACAAATACAGATATTTCTATTCAACCTGGAAGAAAATCATTCCGGTCTGTAATTAATCGAGTCAGTTTTTATTTTTATAGAGACTCAAGTGAAGAAAAAACTGCCAAAAAACACAAATCATACAAAAAAATTACAGCAAGAAAAGTATGTATTTAATAACGTCTGAACTCCAGTTTAAGGTTCTTGGATGAAACAGTTTGTACAATTACAGCTGAAACCATCAGTTCATTAATCAATCAGTTTATTAACAATCAGTTTGTTAATCAATCAGCCTATTGACAGAAAGTCAATGGTTGAAGTTATTTTTCAGACTCACAAATGTGAAGATTTGCTGCGTTTCCTTCCTAATATTTGTAATAATTGTAATCATTTTGATTCACTTTGGATTCTGGGTAATTGTGACGTCATTTCTCACTGTTTTCATAATTTGTACAAAGCAGTTAATCAATGGATTGAAAGAATAATCAATAGTGTCAGAATAGTTGGAAATGAGCTCCAACCAACTGCGACAGTAAAATCTGCTTTTACAGATATAATGATTACACACACACACACTGCAGTAACACTTCCTGTACTTGTACCAGAGTATTTGTACAGTATTAATACAATAATCAGATTTAGGTTCAAAGAAGTTTATATGAGCTCACTCTGTCCTCATTATAATGTTATTTATAATGTTGAGTCATAAAGCAGAAAGAGAATAATTCTTCCCATTTTCAGCTCCACTACAGGAAGATAAACTCATGTTTTAGGAGAAGTCTTTGATGAAGCTGGACTCCGGTCCTCCATGAAGGCCTGCAGGGTTCCCGGGTACACACCGCTCACTATTCACAAGTTACATAAACCACCAAATAAAGACGGTCGGACGTAGAGGTTCCCTTGGAGGACAGACGTTGTGGAACAATCTGGGGAAATAATGTTGAATCATCTGGTGAATACACTTTAACTTTATCCACAGAACTAATACACCCAAAAACATTTCCTTTCCAAACTCTCATTGATGCAGAGAAGTTCCAGCTCCAGTTTTAGAGACTAGTTTCTCTCATTGTGTCACAGATAATAACTGTTATTGTGCACCGACACACTCACACAGACGCGTTATGTTAGTCGGTCTGACTGCTGCAAACCACCACACACACTCAATATGTCACAGCGGATCAATAGTTACCTTGAGGTGTGACTTTGTTAACAAGACAACGACTCTAATTCACAGATTTCATCCTGAAGACTTTATGATCCATCAACTTATAAAAGAATCACACAAAAAACCTCTTTGTTTGTTTGTTGGTAGTTATACATATATAAACAAATAAAAAACAATCACATTTGTAAACAGCAGACAACAGTGCAGAGTTTTATTTTTAAAAGGACAGAATGTTCTTTATTAATTCAGCTCGGTTTAACATTTAACATTTAACACCTCTCGGGGTTATTTATTATGTTTAATAAGTTTTTATTTGACAAAAATGTTATTAAGATAAATCAATGTCAATAATTAATAATAAAGTTTTACATGGCACTAATAGGCCACCGTAGACCCAGTTTAATATGCAGCACAGTCCCTCTCTCTATCAGCTCTATTAAACTATTCAAACTCTATAAACCATCTCAAACGTTGTCGTAGTGTTTCTCTGAAATTATATATCAAAAATATGTTTACAGTGAACAACATGTATTTATTAACCTATATTAACCTTCTTCAGAGTGAACGCAGCTCTAAAGACGATGAGCTGATTCCTCCCTGACTGTTCTGGTAAAATGTAAAACAAACACGAGAAAGAAAGAAAGAGAATTTCCTATTTATTGAATGTAGAAGAGAAAGAACACAGGAGGATATTTCTGGATACCAGTTATTATAGGGAAGACAATGAGCGCCATCTAGTGGAGAAAACAGCACATTACCTGCCTCAGTGTCATCACAACGTCATCACATCTGTCAGAGGAATCATCTGAACTGCAACCAACAATTACTGACAATTATAACAAAATACACATCACATAAACATGGATTAAAGAAAATAGGGAACAAGAGATGGATTTAATGGATGTGTGTGTGTGTGTACAGGAGAAAACACGGCTGACTTTACAGATTTTAGGGTTATCAGTTTCTGTTTGTGCCACTGTAGTTCAATGATATTTTATTGTCAGTTAAAACGCAGGGTTAGATCCATTTATGTTTACCTAATATTGATTAATAAGTATTTTTTATGCTGTAGAATCTTTATTATATTATTCTTGAAAATATTTTAACATTTATCTTTTCTATGGAAGCCCATTTCTGCCAGTAAAGTAAAAATAAATAAATACATAAAATGTTCCAAATTATGAGACACAAAATCATAATTGTGCTAATTATTTTATCATAAATATTTTAATCTAATAATTAAAACTTTTTATCTCATAATTATTATTATTTTCATCCCACAAAATAACTTTTAATCTCGTCATTTTCAACATGTTTTAATGATCGAGACTAAAGTTTAGTCCTCGGATTGTCTCCGGTAATCCGAGCGGAGTGATCCTCCTCTCGGTTGTTGTACGGTCCCGTGAATGTGAGCGGAGTGAGACGTCCCGCTCCCGGTGCTGTGACAGCTGCTCTCTGAGAGGAACGGGAGACATTTTGAGCCGCTGCGGTCGCTCCTCTCCGTTATTCCGGTGTCAGGCTGAAGTCGAGGCTGTCGGCTGGGAGTCTGTGTGCAGAGAGTCTGTGTGCAGAGATCGAAGAGTCGATAATCAATAAATCAGTTTGTAGTTTAACACGAGCTCAACCTCAAGTAGCACAGTCCTAGATGCTAGTTAGCTAGCGTCACCTAGCTGGCCTCCTCTTCCTCCTCTTCC